TATTGCTATCCATGGCCCATGTTGCCACTAAGGGCCACTCAGACGCATCAAGGGCCTGGGCACCACCAAGGGTCAGATCACTGTTAGGGGGTTGAGCCTCTGTTGGAGCCATGCAGATCTGAGGAGTCTGTGCTGCTACCAGGACCATGGTTTCACTGGGGGCCTGGGCTGCCCCTAAGGCCCTTGTCTGGCTTGGGACTGGCTGGGTCTGTGATCCTGCTGCTGCCTCTGTGGTCTGCGCTATGTCCCTGGCTCCTTTCACCACTGAAAGCAGTGAGGATTGGGCTGCACAGAGTTGGTCCTGCCCCTCACTGGCTGAAGCACTAGGGAGAACTGGCCCTGCCCCCACCCACTGCAGCTCTGAGAACAGGCTCTGCACCTTGCCAGGGCAGCACAGCAGAGCTGGGGTGCAGGTGATTCAGCCCTGAAGACATGCGAGTGGAGAGCTAGCCCATGGTCTATCCCATGGTAGCATGAGGAGGGAGAGATGCCCCTTGCCCCTTGCCCCTTGCCCCTTGCCCCAGGCACCTTACCTACTCCAGGCGGGAAAAGCTGGTCCCAGGGTCCAAGAGTGGGAGAGCTGATCCTGCCCCTCACAGACTGCAGCACTCAAGAAGGTAGGCAGGCCCTGCACTTTGTCCAGGCAGCACTGTAGAGCTGACCCCCATTGATGGGGGTACAGATGATCATCAGGCCATGGGAATGCTTGAGGGAGATCAGACCCCAGCCCTCATCTGGAATATGGTAGAGTGGGTGAGGGGGAGATGACCTCCCTCCCTCTCTCACCCTTTGTGGGCACAGTTGGAGAATAGGCACTGCCCCCCACTGGCAGAGCAGGCCTGTAGCTGGTTGTTTTTTACTCTTACTCTTTTGCTCTTTGTTTTTTGGGGCCCCTAAATAACCACACAGAAACTGTATTAATTATATCACTGCTTGGCCCACTAGCTCTAGCTTCTATTGGCTAACTCATATCTTAATTTAAACCTTTCTATTAATCTGTGTATTGCCATGTGGCTGTGGCTTACCGGGTAGTTTCGGCGTCTGTCTCCAGTGGGGCTCCATGGCTTCTCTCTGACTCTGCCCTTCTTTCTTTATTAACCAATGGTATTCTCAGAAAACAGAGGGGAATCCCACATCATTATCCTCTCTCCCCAAACCTACCATCCTACCTGGATAGGAATTATTTGGGCCATTTGGCAGAAGGCAGACTAAATGGTACTTCTTCAAAAGGGAACTGCAACACAAGACTGTTAACTGGGTACCTGTACCCCTCTTAATTTCACTATTCTCGACATAGAACCAGGGACCATGTTACACTTCAAAAAGCTTTCTGTCA